ACACATACACACAAACACACCTTTTGTAGGGAAAGCATATTCCTGCACAGAAATGAGGCATTACAACGTTCACGACCATGTATGCTGGGCACTCACACACAATATATACATGCAGACACACGTTCACTCACTGTGTGTGTGTGGAAGATAATGCAGACTCTACACAAGGCGCAAAACTATGTGTATAAACGGAACAAAGTCTGTTCCCTAATCTTGTAAATACTAAGTAAAATACATAGTGACTATTTATTCCATACCTAAAAACGAGGTGGCTGCGACCCTTAAAGAGCTTTTACTGCAATTTACCATTCAAACAACCAAAGGCATACATTTATCCATCAGACTGTGGTAAACTGAGTGATGGGTAAAGAGATTGCAATTTCAAAAGCTCTTGTTACTTTTTGCTTTCAAGCCAAGCGCTTGATGTGAGTGCAGCATCTGGGTCGCCCCCAGACAACAAAACTGAAGGGAGTATTTTTGACAGAAAGTTTCTGAGTTGCAAGTGTTTGTATGGCACGTTGTTCTTGACTTTGTCTCTGTGAGTTGCTGAAATTCATACATGGGAAAATGCACCACAAATATGACAGGAAGGTATAGAAGAAGAAGATCCAATGCCCAATCACCAGTGCAGCATTAAACAACATATATATATAAATATATATATCTGTAAAAAAGGATGTAATCTTATCACATCTCCATCTCCTACTTACTTTTGGTGACCACACCCTCCAGTCTGATGATGTTGGGGTGGTCAAACTGGCCCATGATTGACGCCTCGCGCAGGAAGTCCCGCCTCTGACGCTCCACATAGCCTCCTTTCAGTGTCTTTATCGCCACAGCGATCTCCTTCTTCCCTGGTGTTCTCAGGCGACCGCTGCATACCTCGCCAAACTCACCTAGAGCACACGCACAAATGAACACAGTAAGAAGTCTATCACAAACTCCACACCATCAGCAGGCGGCATGGTCTGCCACCTGGGGGCAGTGTTGCGGTTCCCATCTAAACTCCAGCATTATTGCCTCTTCTCTGATTAGTTAAACTTCATGAACTTCTCTCTTTCACTTTCTAAAAAAGGCCTTGGATCTATTCTTACAGATTCTTTTGTTCCCTAAACCTGTTAAAGCTTTAACATTTCTACAGTCTACGCAGAGAAAGTGACAGTGAGACACTGGGAAATGGAAAAAAAAGCATCTTCTTTGGCGTGCACAATGGAGTAGAAGGGGTTCATGGCAATTATATATGTGGAATGAAAATAGATCATCTCCTATGACACATTTAAAGGTATTGTTATTCTAACCAACATGAAATGATCCTCTTCCACCCACGAATCAGTGAGACACAAGTGGATGAGTGTGTGCAGGACTGAGTGTGTTGTTTACCAGCTCCTATCACCCTCTCGATGCGGATCCTGGATGGGTCGATCTCTTTGGTGAACTCGTGGACGGCCTGTGTTGGGTCTTCATATGTATCAGGGTCCACATAGGTCTTTATTCCTGGGAAAGGGACTGTAGGGACAGAGAAAAAGATACAGAGAAAAGGCTGTGAGGTAAAATTAGCTTACATTACCCTTTTTTAAGACTTTTAAACAATGTATAAAGCTTTTTTACAGCTACTGCTTTAACTGTCACTACCAGTATTTCTGTCAAAACAAGCAAAAAAAAATACCAGCTACAATAAACCAGCTGCACAGGACACACTTTCACTAACTCAACCTGGATAAGTTGAAACACCATAAGATCCTCTTCACTAAAACTATCTAGCAGAAAAGCTAAAATAGAAAGTTAAAAATAAACTGATGTTTTAACTGTCCAACGTCTACACCTCCAATATGGTAGTAAATGCACACGTGATCAAATCCACTGAAAAAATGAAAAACCCAGCCTAAACATTTATATTTTCAAATTAAAAATGTATGTATAAATGTCTTTATGTAGTTAATAGTGTTGTTATGTATGAGACACAAACAATGTTACGTGTTGCTGACATGCTGACGTGTATGTTGCAATGGCCCGGTTTAATCATTCGACTTTTGTCACATATCACACCCCTTTCTCTCACCATGTGTCTACATCTACCCTGAATGCTTAAGCTGTCACTTATAGTCTTAAATAACTACAGCAGAAATAGACATCCACAGCATTTTATGCATTTCTTTTCATTAAGGATACAGTGTATCATCGGACATTCACAGGATGATGTGGTCACTCTGTAGACAAATGGCTTTGGACACATAGAGACACATTTCCCCACTATTATTGATTATAAGCTGATCAATATCTGTGGTCTTGGCAAAGCACAAGAGCAAAAGTGTTACCTCACTCTGAGACTTACACACACACACACACACGACACACACACACAACACACCCTACACACACACACAACACACAACACACACACCCACACAGACACACACACACACACACACACACCGGTAGCTTGTTCCTCCTCTGTCTTTTGCTGAGAAGCAGCAGGGTAGCACACTGAGGCAGCCTTTAACCAGGGTGAGGTTTTAGCCCCCACTGTAAGCAAGAAGCCACCCTGTTGAAGTGTCCTTGAGCAAGTCAATGAATCTGCTGCTGTTCTGGCTCTTGTCCCTGACCTCAAGGGGAGGGTGGGGGGTGGGATGGCTATAGACAAAATCTTTGTTTCTCCTTCAGGGATCGATGAAGTATCACAAAACAAAAGACAACAATCAGTGGTCTCGGGCGCCTGAACAGACACCAGCAAAACCCTGAGGACCCTGTTCTCCTCTAAAAGCTTCTGCTCAACACCACACTGACTGAGCTGTGACCTGAGACAGGACACAGGTTTTGAAGACCAATACTATAGAAGTGAAAAAACACACACACACACACAAACACACACTTGCTTATAAGGTGTGTGTTTGAATCTTGAAAACTATGTGACACCTTGTTAGAAGGTACGTACTGGATATCGGGTAAACTCCTGATGGGCTGCTGTGGGTGTGGGCCTGTCACTTGTATGCATATACATTTATTATTTTGTATATTGTTGGAGCTTAACGGAGGGAGGGGTGCATTACTGTTAATATTGGGTGTTGGCAGCACATGTTACACAATTGTATTCTAGAAAAAAAGGCAATTGTGGGCTGATCTAGATAAAAGTCAGGGGCTGAATTTTTGCCCCAGTACAGCCCTACTTGTTAGCCACCTTGAAAATCTAATTTGATGTATATTTCATCTGTTTTTGGCTTTCTAGCCACAAACCTCTTAAAACTGCCTCATTTCTCTTTGTCCTCTCCTCTCTTCCTCTGCCTTTCAACCTGGTTGCCCTCATCATCATTTCTCTCTCCTCTCTGTTTCTCCTCTTGCAATTTCCCCTTGTCTCGCCCCAATCTCCATCTTTCTGCTCACTTTCAAACATCTTTTATTTTTTCACTTTACAGCTCTCATTTCAATTTGTGTTTTTTTTTTATGTCTAGAATGAAAAGTTGGGAATTAAAAGACAAAAGACAGGCGAAAGAGACCGAAAGGTACAGGAGTGCAGAAGCAGACAGCTCAGGGATCCAGCTATGTAACCAGATTAATCAAAAAAAAAAAAAAAAACTCATGTAGAACATCAAATGAAACCTGAGGGGAGATGAGGAGGAGTGCTAGAGAGGAGGAGGAAGGAGAGACAGAAAGATGAAGGAGCATGGTGGTTTAAAGAACTTTAAACTGTTGACTTCTGACATCTTAATTCCTGAAACTATAAATATCACATTTGCTACTTCTTTTCTTGCCAGCATTTGTAACAATAGCCAGTCAATATTTAGCATTCTGTAAAAGCCTGTGATGGGAACTGTTATTTCTATATAAGATTCAAATATGCATAGGCACAGAAACACATCGGAAATGATCCATACAGCAGTACACTATTCATTTTAAATGCAAAGAGAAGAGAAGCCATCTATCTATAGCTATCAGTAGCTATCAGTCTTCTTGTTTTCTCCACTCCACTTGTTGGCAAAGACTTACCGCAAAACAAAACCTGGCATTTTCTCACCAAATGGTTGGGTGTTCTGGCAAATTTTGACTTTAACATTATGTAATGTGCCAAACAGATTTTACTTGTTTATTAAAATAAAAAAACTAGACTCCCCCTGCCATCATTACCATAAATATGGAAATTAATTATTCTTGACTTAATCTTTCTGTGAAAACACAAAAACTAAGGTCACAATGAGAGAAAGCAAACAGCAATGAAGAGAGAGATAGACTGATTGATTTACCATGTCCATTCTGATAATTGGTCCTCCTTTTCTCCTCTGAAGTCATCTTGGCCTTAAAGTACCACTGACACCTGGAAAACACATTGATTGATGGACAGAGTTACAGAGATTTTCTGCAACTGTGTAATGATATTACTTTTTGCATGCCGCATCATCGTGGAACAAAACAGGACAAGTATATGGGGAGGAGCCCTCAAGAAGTTGAAGTGAATTAAGAGAAAAACCTCAACCAAAATGTAACTGTAGATAACTTGCTGAAAACAGGTTCACATTTAACATTTGTGGAAGATATATGGAATTGTAGAAACAAAACCTCTTGGTGACATTTCAAAACATTTAATAACCAATTGTCTGCAGAAAGAGACTCATGTCAACTACCAAGATTACTGAATAAAGCAAGGATGTGCTTTTTTAATGTGTGTGAGAGACATGCTAATCCACTAGAGCAGTGGTTTTCAACTGGTCTCACCTTGGTCGTGACCCAATTTTATAGAATTCAAACCAAACAAATTTACTTTTCAAATAGGCTATTACACACATACAATGTCATCATGACCTGTTTTTTAATATAAAATATACACATATTTTAACACCTGCATTCAAGGTGGTAGAAGGTGTTGTTAGATCCCACTTCTTTGCATACTTCTACACACACGGCACATAAACACCCCCTGCAAAGCATAGCTAAGCATATAAAATAGATTTTCTTTTTATGACCATACACTCTGAGACCCGTTCAAAATGAGTCTGTGACTGTGTCAATGTCACATCAAAATGTGTTTTGCCTTGCCAAGATGTGAATAGTACACACGTGTATGAAGGTGCAGTATGAAGAGTGACCACGTAAGGAGGATGGGGTCAAATAAACACAGGACTTTCACTAAGGAGACTGTTGTTCGAGTGAAACTGAAAGTCAATGTTGACCTATTCTAAGTTTAAGTAACTTATGATCTTTCCCTAAACCTAACCAAGTAGCTTTATTGTCCAAACCTAACCAAACTCCGACCTCAGTAAGCTTCATTCTGAAAGTATACCCAGATCGAGGAATAAGAACGTGTTGAAAACATGACACTGGGGCAGGTCTATTACATGCTTTGGTGTGATACCGGGTTGTATAATTTCAACTTTACATTTGTAAGAGGAAGAATGTGGGATTTCTTCTTTCAAAAGGTTGCTGCTGCGGAGGGTCACCGATTCAAATCCCACGGACGGGGAATGGTAGCTGGAGAGGTGCCAGTTTCACCTCCTGTGTACTGTAAGGTTTCTACAGGAAAAGCAGGTTAACTATATAAAATGTGTCTTGCTATGCCTGCTATGTATGTGTTGTGTGCTCACTTGTGCGTGAAAACAAAAGATGCTTAAGGAAAACTTTATCTTTTCACACTTTTGCACACATGCACAAACACCCAGGTGCAGATTTTAACAACCTCACACCAAAAAACACGCTGCTTTGAGTGACTACAGGCACCAAACTTTTACATTAACAGTTTTACAAAGTTCTGAATGTGATGTAATTAAAAAGTTCATATTGGAGCTATAGCAGGAGAGGTTGTCGGGAGGTGATATGTGGAAAGATACAGCAAACCCCCCCCCAAAAAACAAGAAAACCAGACAGAGAGGTAATATTGCATATGCTAATTTCTGGTGAAAATTCTACACAGCATCCAACACCAGAGAAATGAAACAAAACTATAAAAATAATTAAAAATAAAACAAAACAATGTTGCAAGGTTGATTGATCACTGATATGAAAACATAATTTGCAGAAAGATGTTGGCAGGCAGTAAGAGTCTGGCCTTGGAAGAGATGGTTTATAAATAAAGTAATGAAGATGGAGGTGGTACACATTACAACACATTAAATCAAAATTGTTGAGAAAATGAAGGAACTGGAACTTAAGGGACAGACACTCTTTCACAGAGACAATCAAATGTTTTTTTTCTCATCAAATACTATAGAAGAGAAGTAAACTTCCATCCACTAATGAAAAAAAATCCCTTGTCCTCCTGTGTGAGTGTGTTTGCGGGAGAGTTTATCTGGGCACTGAGAGACCAGGAGACAGCCAACGACTGATAAAACGATGCTGCCAAGAAAGTCTGAAAAGCTTTGAGATTAGATGACAGCATCTGCAAAGACCACGGAAGAATTTATCCAAATAGATTCTAGGATGTTACTCTGAAATGAAAAGTGCAGAAAACACCATGTCAGAATCACACACAGAACCAGAATCATGTTCAGGACAAAGTACAGACAGGAATTTGAAGAATTTACTGTCTGAAAACAGTCAAAAAAGTACACCAACTGTGTGTGGCATACATAACATAATAAATAGAAAACATAAATATAATGTGTCTGCAGAGTTTAGGTGAAGAGAAAAAAGATAAATACATAGAGATTATCTGCATGGTATCACAAGAATGTATTTGGGATAATTTGGGTAAACTCACCCAAACATCTGGCCAGTAATAACAAGTAATCAAGTAATGGCTTGTGACTCAATCCCCAGACGGGAGGATAAATCTGGGTGGGTTAAGTGAAGGAGCAGCACTTACCCTTCCCTCATTACCACCACTGAGCTGCACTTGTGCAAGGCCTTTTACCCCAATTGCTCCAGTGGAGCTGCTCAGTGGCCAGCAGATCAGACTGTGGTTGTACTGGGCAGCTTCCAGGTGTGTGAATGTGATGCAGCTCTAGTGATGTGTAAAGTGTGATTGTGATCAGTTGCTGCAAAAGAGAGGCTCTCTCGTCAGCAAACCTTCCTGAATAAATGAAGGTGAAAAACAAAACAAACGAAAAACAAGTTGACTGTTAGATGTTTGTGTAAAGGCTTCCAGTCCAAATATGATACGAACTGTTTATTGAATGGACTTGCAACGCTCGTAAATATTGTACTGGTCGGAGAGAGTTGAAGGTGGGTGTCGAGAAGAGCAGTTGAGATGGAAAATAAACGATTGAAGGAAGAAAGGTGCTCTGAGTTCTCTCACAGGCCTGCATCACTGGAAGTTTTAAAACTTATTTTGCAGCCAGGACTTAATTAATGACCATTGAGCACGAGGGACACTTTGCTCCACCCCTCACGAAGTGATCCCTAATACATTCTCATATTTTCATCATTTATTAGATAGAATATAATTCCTGAACAGCACCCACAGATACTTAAAGTCCCCCACACTTAAATTATGTCTCTTCTCTTTCTTGTTTTGCTACAGTTGATGTTTGAGCTTCATGGTGCAGGATGGTGTATGATACAGAGTTTTTACACTAGAAAGAGGTTTTCACATTCATCTGCCTTGAAAAGGAAAAGTTTCTCTGTGCTCAATGAAAACTAGATTTTAAAGTATGATTTATGATATCACAAACAGTTTGTAAGTTAATCCTGGTCCAGTATGCAACTTCTACAAGTGTGATGTAAAGACTTGAAGCCACCAATGCACAAACACTGAGAATGGACTTTACAGTGAAGTAGGAGACATCTTGTGTCCAGAAGGAAAACTTTAGAAATTAATAAAATTAGCATATTCATAGATTCTGGGATTTTTAATGAGGTAGACGGAGTAGATTAATTTTAATGTGGAAATTGGGAAAAACATACATCAGACACACATTATTGTTCCAAGCAGACCATTTGTTTTTGTCTTAATGCATGTCTGGAAGGGATCTTTAAAAATGACAAAACACAAGACTGTGACTTAATTCCTGTTTGTTCATATGCTGCATGCTTTAAGTGAGTTTTTAGATAATAATGCAGTAGGAAGCATTTTTTCCCCATACTGGAAAACAAATAGACTTTTTACAATAATCTGACATGTAAAGAATCACCTCAACAACTTAAAAGTAGCTTATTCACAGTATTTTATGATATGATAATTTAGCGATAGATGTATTATTGTGCTCTTAAGAAGGTGAACAGGACATTTTCAATGTATCTGTTAATGAGCTTAGTTTAGTATTTAGTTCAGAATTTAGCTGCGTTACTTCTGTAGGTCCTACATAGACAAATTGCCATTGTGACATTTACTGAAAAGCGTTTAATTTGTGGGTGTTTATCTAAATAAGAGGCAGCCTTGTAAGATTTACATCACATTTACGCAATAAGGTGTATGTCTAAAAGAAACTTTAAAGGAGCGGCAGCAAGTAGAAGAACAGAGCCCAGAGGCTTGACCCAAACCCCCAACAGAGACAGAGACAGAGATCTCTCTTAGTCAAACTGTCACTTCAGAAGAGAGTCTTCTTTTTACTGTCACTGCTGCAGACAAGTCCACCTCTCCCCCAGCCCTGCGCCTCCACACCACTGTGGTCCAGATGAGAGATGCTATCTGGAGATGAAACTGGCGGAGCTGAGGGACAGAGGTCTGCATCTTGGCCTGAGTCCCACAGGACATGACAGTATTGATATATTTCACTGCTGGTTCGGGCCTAAAGTATACATATTGGTGATATCAAATGTTACTACTAAGTGTCACTTATTACTTTCAAGGTTAACAATGATAAATGGACTACAGTGCAAGTAACGTACCACTCTGCAGTACAACCATCCCTCGCTAACCCCCTATACACAGAAGAGATGTTACTATATGAAATACCCAGAAAACTACATAATAAAGAGATACAGTAAAAACAATCTTAAACAGACAACTTAAAAAATAAAGTACATTCTGAAGGACACATGCAGTAAGGATGTCACTGTGCCCAATAGACTTAGAACTATAAGCACCAAATAAGAGGGACTAAAGGTGTAGAACACATTTAAATAGTTTCATTGAAGTCATAGGGTGAAAGAAACTCTATTCTCAGTACAAGAAGACCTTCCTTGGAAACATTTACTTCAGCAAGGATGTACAGCAGAACAACAGTGTCAGCTGACAATTCTCTGTGGTTTCATGGCCTCGAGGGACTTCTTTCACATAACACATCATCGTCATTTAATCTACTGTTATATCCTATAAAGTTATTGATCAGTGCAGCTTTAAGTAAAGAGCAAGAGGTTTTAAGGTTAGTCCGAGTCCAAGTTTTTGATGCTTGAGTTTGATCAGCATCTACATCAATTGTGCAGGAGATTTAAAATTTTGAT